CTTTCTTTCTTTCTTTCTTTCTTTCTTTCTTTCTTTCTTTCTTTCTTTTTTTTTTTGTGCGGTGGAATCCAGAGATTTACTCACATTAACCAATCTTAGCCAACTAATACTTAACACGTGAGACAGTTCAGGGCTAGGATGTTTCAGAACCACGGACAGCTCCCAAGTCTAGGTAAGGCGCTTGTCTCAGAGGTGATTACTGCTGGCATTGGTGAAACTGTTCATGACTTTGCCTGTCTTTGAGCTCCATACAAAGTAAACAGTGCACAGTGTAACAATCTATGTAACGGCCTTAGCTCCATGCTACCAAATTTCATAAATGGTAATCACAGGTTATCTGTATGGGAACTGTGCAGACAACAGCAAGATACAAGCCGCTGAGTTAAGGAGAAAATGGCTAGTACGGCAGATCCTCACTACTCAACTTAGGGTCTTTTTCCTATCTGGAAAAGGGAGTAACAACATGGAAGACTACTTGATCAGGCATTTAATAAATATTGTGGACTTGGCACCACGCCATGAAAGTCAGTCTAAGATGGATGATGACAAATATTTTCTCATAATGTATGCAATGTGTATAATGTAGGTGGGTGTACTGAGGGGACCTGCGTACTGCAGGGTGCTTCCTTCTGGACCCCGAATTGGGTGCAGACAACACCTAAAAACCATGTTCCAGCACAAACGACATGCAGAGAGATCCATTATTAAGCAAGACAGAGACAAAGTGGCTGAATCTGCACATAACAGCAAATATCTTTGCACGTGTTAATTTTTTTTAAGTAAATTTTATTAAATTATAAAAGTTTCCATTTCCGCCCCCCCTCCCAACACCCTCCCACTCCCCCCACTCCCCCTCCTCCTCCCTCTTCGTCCCCCAGGGCAGTCAGGGTTTCCTGCCCTGTGGGAAGTTCCAGTTCCTTCCCCCTCCCTCCAGGTCCAGGAAGGTGAGTGTCCAAACAGACTGGGTCCCCAAAATCCAGTATATGTAGAGGAAACAGGTCCCAGTGTCATAGCCAATGGCTTTTCAGAAAGACTTCGGGCCAGTCACAGTCAGAGAATCCGGTCAAATTCCGAGAATCTGGTTAGATCACGTCCTCGTTCAGTCCCAGTCCAACTGGCCTTGGTAAACTCTCATCAGATCCGTTCCCTTGTATCAGTGGGTGATAGCATCCCTCGCAGTACTGATTTCGTTTTTCATGTTCTTCCTCCTTCTGCTCCTCATTTGGACCTCGGGGGGCTCAGTCCGGTGCTCCAATGTGGGTCTCCGACTGTATCGCCGTCCTTCGCCAGATGAAGGATCACTCCGAAGGCCCTCTGGATGGAAGCTGGGATGGCTGGCAGGGAAGCTAGCAGGGTGGAGCCAGCAGAGCAGGCTGACCTGGGAGTCTATGGGGTCGGGGAGAGTCCTAGCTCCCCCTCCCCGGGCCCCTGCCGCGGGCCCGAATCAACTCACCACTCCGAAGGCCCTCTGGATGGAAGCTGGGATGGCTGGCGGGGCTGCACGTGTTAATTTTAAGAGGGAAAAGAGGGAGTTCTGTGTTACAATGAGTTAGCTCTGATTGGGTATTTTAATTAGGTGAGTCAAAATGATGAATTTTGATTGGTGAATCTTGATGTTTTGTTGGACCTTGATGATCATTCTCAGGCATGAGTCAGGCATAACATAGTGGCCAAATAAGGAAACAGGCCTCGGTGGCTAGCATAAGGAATGTAGTCTACTGGCTTAGCAGAGGAAAGAAGGGCGATATGTTTGCCATTCTCTGACCTGTGTTTGCCACACTTGGGTGTGCTAGAACACTTCGTGTATTACCTATGTTTTTGGATGGGGGAGGGGAGACTCTGAGGTTGAAAAATGAGTCTATAAGCTCAAAGAATGGATAATAGAGGTCAGTAAGCATGCGAGTGGGTGAGCCTAGAATGTATGGGAAGGAAGATAGATTTGTTCTAAATCAGGGGCCCTATGAATTCTGGTCTAGCTAAGAATTCCCACTATTACTTATATTTTATTTTATTTTATTGAGATAAGGTCTATATAGCCATGACTAACCATTCAAGATCTATCTGGAGTACTTAGCTGTTGGCTCTACCATCCTGGGCTTCTTGTGTTTGGTTGGCTAATAAGGGAAAGGACAAAGGAACTAGGAAGTTTATGTCTGCTTTTTAGCATTTTCACCTTTAGTATTGCATAGTTAAAGCTGTTTCACATGCAACTTCTTTTGTTAAATGAACAACATTTAGGCGTACACAAAACACCTATGACAAAGACACACCACGGTTCCTACTCAGGGAAATTCTGGCAGGATGAGGCAGACTGTAGTGATATTTTATTTATGTTTTATAAATTAAACTTGTCTGAAGACCAGAAGGTAAAACTAAGCTACTAGAGTCTAGGCAGTGGTGTCACATACCTTTAGTTCCAGGATTTGGGAGACAGAGGCAGATGGATCTCTGAGTTTGAGGTCACCCTGGGCTACACAAGATCAGTGCAGAAACGGATTCAGGTGGTGGTAGCTCATACCTTTAATCCCAGTACTAGGGAGTCACATGCTTTTAATCCCAGCACTAAAGAGAAATATAAGGCGAGATGAGAAAGAAATTTGCTCTCTTTCAGTCTGAGGGTTTCTTAGAGGGAAGAGCTCTTTAGTGGCTGGATGCTTTGCTTTTCTGATCTTCAGGTTGAACTCCACTATGTGTCTCTGGGTTTTTATTATTACAGCAGACAATAAGCTATGAAACAAAATTTAAAGCTTACTTTAATAAAAAAGAATCAACATTTCTGTTAAACTTATTTTTTTTTAAACTGGTAATACTTTCACATATCGCAAAATTCCAAAAAAATATAAAAAGATAGAGTGAAAATTATTTCTCACCCCAGCTTCCCCCAATTCCTCCCCAAGGGCAGATGGTACATCTACTTACTTTTCACCCTTTCAGAGACTCCATACTTAAGTATAAATAAACAAATGCTTCCTCTCTACACATGAAAAATACTATAAAATTTTACATCTTACTTGTTTCCCTTAAGGTGCCATGAAGACTTCTTCCTTATTAATAATGGCAGTCTCCACTAAGGCTTTGATTTTTATTATGCCACAAACTGTAAAAGAAGCAGCAGGCCGCTTTCCGCTGCCCGGTTTGCAGCTAGATTTACCCAAAATAATTACATGGAAACTGTATTCATTTAAACACTGCCTGGCCCATTAGCTCTAGCCTCTTATTGGCTAACTCTCACATCTTGACTAACCCATACTTAATAATCTGTATGCCACCACAAGGTTGTGGCTTACCAGCATGAGTCTAGCCAGCGTCCGTCTTGGGAAGGGGAATCATGGCGTCTGCCTGACTCTGCATCATTCTCCCAGCATTCTGTTCAATCTACTCCACCTATATAAATCCTGCCCTATCAAAAAGCCAAGGCAGTTTCTTTATTAACCAATGAAAGTAACACATAGATAGATGATCCTCCTACATCAACAAACCATAGTGGATTTGTTTTGAAATTCTTATTTTTGAGAAGCCTTGTACAAATGATCTGCATATGAACAAATAAATCCTCTGGATTTCTCCCCAGTAGGTTTACTGAGAAAACATTCATATGATTTAATAACTGATGAACTGCCTGCCACCCATTCATACCCTCACAGGAAATGTATAGGAAACACCCAGGCCTCTTTGAGAAAAGGTTGGTAAAATAATTGGATAGAGGGCACAATGTTATAATCTTCCAGAAATAAAGCTACAATAAACTCATTAGGGAAAATTCTCAAAATATAGGAAAAACATGCTACAAGAGAATGAGAATAAGAAGAGTTTTCTAATTCTAAAGCTTTGAATGAGAGCTAACTGTACACACATGCACTTTTGCGTTGTATATTCAAAATACACTGTGTGTATGTGTGAGCATAAACATTTAAGACAAAATTATACTGGTGGTGGTGATGCACGACTTTAATCCCAGCACTCATGAGGCAGGGGCAGGCAGGATTTCTGAGTCTGAGGCCAGCTTGGTCTACAGAACAAGTTCCAGGACAGCCAGGGTTACACAGAGAAATCCTGTCTCAAAAAACGAACAAAACAAAAATTTCAATGAAAAGCAGCAAAGATCATCTTTGGATAGTTGAAGCATGAAAATTTTAAATGCTTTAAAAAGTTTTACAATTTTGGGGGGCATTTTCCAAGTTTTGTTACAATGAATTTGTGTCAGTTTTATAAAGAGATAGAAACCACGAAGTCCCTCTAATTTACAGTAATTTCCCTGAGAATCTCTTTCAAAATATATACAAAGAAATCAGTGGGACTATCATTCCTGGATGTGAACTGAAAAATGAAAATTGTTGGTTGTTCTGATTTCACTAAGCCATAATCTCAGCCATACAACATCCACCGCGAGAAACAGGACTGGTTTTGGAATCACAGTGATGAGAACAACACCTGGCTTCCAGAGTATTGGTATTATGGTATGACTGCTGGTGTCTCCCCCCATTTTCATTTGCTTTACCTAGACTAAAGCACAAACACTTGAAGGAGCAGTTAAGGAGTTATAGGTAAAGGCAAGTTTCTGTTTCTCAGAGTCTGGTTCACTTCCTGGGTAGGTCATTTTGTGCAATGTCATCCCTGTCATCTGTTTGCACTGTCAGTGGTAGCTGGGATGAAGTGAACAGATCTAAGATGTTTATATGATAAAAGCACCAGGACCTTTACAAAGGATTGACGAAGAGGAAGGGATCAAAGGCATGTTTTCTGGCTTCAGTGATGGGGTGGGAGATAGTGATATCCATGAAAGGGATTGGGAAGTAGACTGTTGGATAGAAAAGGGCAGTTTTCTTCAGGGTAAGCTGGATATGAGTTCATGGCTTACCTGATGGAGTTAAT